TAATTAGCAAAAAATAGCGAGTGTAGTGATATATGTGATATATACGACATATAAAAAATATGATATACATAGTAAGATATAATATATACACTGAGAAAAAACGAAATAGTTGTGGCAACTATAATTTGACAACTTTGAAATTTAAGTACTTGCAACTAGTTTTACAAAGTAATAGGAACTAAAGTAGTACTGAATACTATAAAAATATAGTCACAGAAACAACATTTTTCAACTATTGTACTATATTTTTCAATTATAATTACACAGTTATATAGACTCCATACAAATACATATGACAATAACATTTTTTCAGTTTAAACAAATATTTTTTTGAAATTTAGTAAAGCATACTTCCAGAAGCCAAATTTTATAAATTCAATTATGCTAAAATGACTGTGCCAGCTTAATGACGTCAAAACGATGCTATCAAACCTACGCGTTCGCTACTAATGTACAATATGTGGGTGAAGCGGATAAAGGATTGAATAATTGTGAGATATCTACGTCATAATTCTTTCTTACCACACTTATGTGATTTCTCGCGCAGTTTTCGCAATATATATAGATCTATTATGATGATTAGTTTTTACCCAGAGGATTAACAGCATTACTTTGAAAGCGAATGATGGATTATTTCAAAACAATTTGCAGAACGCGGATAAATTTTATTATTCCTTCAGTTGTATAAATATGCGCAAAAGAACCTTGAGATTTTTTATTCTTTCAGCTATAAATATGTGCGAAAAAACCTTCATTTTCATTGGACATAATTGAAAATAATATATAATTGATATTTTCTCCGCTTCTATTTATTCCTTCAATATGAACAATTAACTCAAAATTCGATTCTGCTTTTAGCGGATTTATCAATCTATGAGGGAGCTTTAGTCATGACGTATGAACAACTTTTGGAGCAAGCTAAACAAGAACAAGAAGATGCATTACAAACTAAAGAGAGCTTGAATCAACTCGCTATTGTTCTTTATACTTCCGGAAGTACAGGAATTCCCAAAGGTAATAATACCACATTTTATTATAGATACTAATTATATAATACAATGTAAAGAATACAATTTAACGCGTGCATACTCGTTTTATTCATTATAAATTGACGTTATTTGTTACTAAATGTCGTAACAGTATATTTTTACAATATCATGTTCATACGTGGCAAATAAGAACTGTGTTTCTGTAAAAGGATATTAACCCTCATTTAAATTATAGAAAAATATAAGACAAAAGTAGCAAATTGTGAATTTATAGTTTGTAAAAAAGCAAGAATCTGGAAGAGCATAATTGTTTGTAATATACACATTTATCTTCTTAAAGGTGTGCTTATACCGCATGCTACTCTATTGAATCGTCTACAATGGCAATGGAGGGAACTTCCATACGCTGATGATGAAAAACGATGTGTTTTTAAAACTTCCCTTACTTTCGTCGATAGTGTTCCCGAAATTTGGGGACCTCTTTTACAAAGCCGTACCCTAGTAATTGTCCCGAAAAGCGTGACTAAAGATCCGGAAAAGTTTATACCGCTTTTAGAAGAACATCAGGTAAAAACTCACTAATTTATTGTTGACAAGTTAAGTTACCACTACTATTTTTTTTTTTTTTTTTTTTTATATAATTAATGGCATAAAAATATATTTGGTGGCTATAATTTTAACATAATGCAATTAGTAAAAAACAACAACAGTTGCAACAACAGTTTGAAAATGAACTGAATAAATACTGATCAAAAAGTTTTCGGTAAACTCTAGCTAATTTACAATTTTATGAAATCTTCTGCCATCTGTTGTCTAATGTAACGGGTAAATCACATGAATCGTGTGCATGTGATATAACTTAATTTATGACAAAAAAAATTATCTATGTTTCAGATACAACGCTTAGTCCTTGTGCCATCGTTG